TATAAAATAAAACATGAGGCACGATACAACTCAAATAGAAATCAAATTTATAAAAACTATCTACTGCTCTGTCTTTCCAGACGAAACTGATTCGCAAAAGGCGGCCGCTACAAAGAAATATGCCGCCAAAGACGCCGCCACTTCAAAGAAATATGCCGCCAAATACGCCGTTAAAATTTCTAACCAATAAGATATTCCTGGAGTCAACGTTGACTGTATAAAACAACCAATAAGATGCGTTGTTCGCACGTGGAATCGCATCCAATGTATGTGCCCGTATCAATATATTTTTCCTAATAATAGTATAATAATTTTAACGGGCAATACGATAATTTGAGGAGACCCCAATTTTTGCCTTGTCTCATCTGAGAAACGATAGACTATACCCGGAACAGCCCGTTCTCGCGCTGCACCAGTACTCTTCCATCTCACTTTTCTCCGTAGCTCCCTTTCTCTCTCGCTAATTGTAAAATACAATAAACCCTTTCACGTATTATACAGGGTGGAATTTTTAAATGGAATAAATTCAGTATCAGAAAACCAGTTTATTTTCTGGAAAAATTTAAAAAAACTGGTCCCTTTATTTTCAGTTTGGCACATTTTTTCAGCCTTTTCATGGAATTTACCCCTTTCTTAAGGGTAGAAACCACCCCCAACTTTTTTTTTTCAAATGTAAAGATATGTATTGTGATAGTTCGTTGGAATGGGCTTAAAAAAACGAATATGACCCATTATTTACTTTTGCATTTCGGTGATCTAGTTATTTTATTATTTTTGACAAAAACACACTATTTTAGGGTTGAGAATACGAGTATCAGGCATAAAATAGTGTGTTAACGTCAGAAATAATTACATAACGTTACAAATGGGGCTTGTTTCGCATTAGGGTCCTACCAAGAAAAAATGCTGAAGATATTCAACAATTTTAACTGTAAAAAAAATTGTTTGGAAAAATATGTTTTCATTTTTTTCTCGCTTTCTAGATCACCCAAATGCAAAAGTGAATAATGGATAATTTCCCTTTTTTTATGCCCATTCCAACGAGCTATCACAATACATATCTTTACACTTGAAAAAAAAAAGTTGGGGGTGGTTTCTACCCTTAAGAGAGGGGTAAATTCCATGAAAAGGCCAAAAAATGTGCCAAACTAAAAATAAAGAGACCCATATTTTTTTCTCAAGAAATCAAACAGGCTTCCTGATACTGAATTTATTCTATTTAAAAATCCCACCTGTATACGTTTGAATTCTGATTTCAAAATATTCAAACCAATCAAACCTCAATTGCTCGGTAACCGTTGAGCAAATTGCATTAAAATTTTCAGCATTTGTAGCTCTTATTAAGCTCCAAATGGCCTGTAAGTAACAATATTCCCAGATTTATAGTTTTTTAGCAAATTGAATTTGAAGTTGTTGACAAAATTTGGACTGAAAGTCAATTTTGAGGCTCAATTGCTCTAAAACTATTTGAGCTGTCAAACTCAATTTTAAACGGATTTATAGAGAATCTAATGCTCTTTCCAATGGTATATAATTTAATTCAATTTGCTCAAAATTTACTAAAAATATGGACAATTGTTCATGACCATGTCAAGATTTTGAAATTCCCCAGAGCCAAAAATAGGATTTTCTTTTTATTTTTGTTTCTGCTTGAAATGGCCATTTAGAATTGATGTCAGGGTTGTTTTCCACTAATTTTGATTAATAAAGTCAAAATTGAGCAAAACTGAAAAATAAAAAAATCGAGGTTTTCATAAGGGTACCCCCTTTGAATTCTGATTTCAAAATATTCAAACCTCAATTGCTCGGGTATGATTGAGCAAATTGCATTAAAATTTCCAGAATTTGTAGGTTTTATCAAGTTCTACATGGCCTGTAATTTACAATATTTCCAGATTTGTAGTTTTTGTGCAAATTGAGTTTGAAGTTTTGGACTAAAAGTCAACTTTGAGGCTCAATTTCTCAGAAATTATTTGAGCTATCAAACTCAATTTTGCACAGGTTTATAGAAAATTTAATGCTCTTTCCAATGGTGTATAATTTAATTTAATCAAAATTCACCAAAGATATGGGCAAGTGTTCATGACCTGTCAAGATTTTGAAAGCCAAAAATAGGATTTTTTATTTATTTTTGTTTCTGCTTAAAATGGCCATTTGGAATTGATGTCAGGGTTATTTTCCACTAATTTTAACCCGCTCTACCATTTCGAAGTGTATGACAACAGTCATAAATTAATATTCTATACGTTCATGCAATAATCTCAATTTTTAGATATACTGCCCTTTTGCCAGTTCTGATTTTGTATTACCTTGGGATTTTGAATTAAGATAATAAAACCTTCATTCTGTGAAAATTTCAGCTTGTTACTCCGACGCGCCCACAAAAGTCAAAATATATTATAAGGAGCACTCTACTAACAGCCAGACCAATGTTGTAGTTATTCAATTATCTACATTAGGTATATTTTTCTGATTCTGGTAACCTATAATTTTTCCGGAAAAATTAAACCGAAATATTTCATCCCCATCGTATGTTTACGTTTTTCCTGTGACATTTTCTGTAGAATGCTCGGGAAACGTCTTCGACAATAATTATTTTTAGCCCGCACATGCCTAATATGGAGTTTTGCTGAAATACTCCTCCTAGAGGCTCTTTTGAAATAAGTGGCAAATATTAAAATAATTTTTTCCTAAAAGTTGAGTAATATCTTGATGTTGTTGAATCAATTGAAAGCAAGCTAAAATAACAAATTTTTGAAGGTGAAATTTCTCTACATTTCCAATGCTCGGTTTTTATTGATATACTATATTAAGTTTATACTCATCGAAACGAAAGAACGCAAACTAGAACGTATAACCATAACAAATATTCCTAAATATTTAGTAAGTATTAATTATTCAGTTCGTAATGGTATTAGTACAAAAGGATAAACGATTTTTGCAAAATCCAAGTAACAAATTTGAAGTAATTGATATGTTATTTAGATTTTTGAAACAAAATATCCCGTGATGTATTCACATACATTTTAATAAATTATAAAATGTCTACATTATTGTTTACTTGTATAGTTTTTTTGTAAAATATTATAGGATCTGAACCTAATGATTGATGTTAAAATAATTTATTAAGAACCAATTACGAAAGCATGACGTTATAAATAGACATCGCTTTGGAATTTTCACCTTTTATCGTCATTAAATGAAAAAAAAATTAAACTGGAAAATTCTCACTCTGTCGACGTTTCGTATTTCATAAAATAGGTAGGTACTAAGAAGTGGTATGAAGAAAAAAATCAACATTCTTATTGACCATTGAGCAAAGACTAAACTCACCAGCCCAGCGTCAAAAAAAGGCGCTGGTCTGGAAACAAATTCGAATGTGCCCAAAAAAACCTGCAGGATTCTATTTTACGAGTCGAGTCGAATTGTCTGTTATAGGTAATACTCGGCATCGAATACGACAGCTCCGGACGTATCGGGTAATACGTATCGAAAAATAGAATCACGATTTTGACAATTCGATACGAATTTCGACTCGACTCGTAAAATAGAATCTGGCAGCCGTTTATACATAAATATGTAATGTTCATACGCGCAAAAAGGTTCCGCTTTAATTTTACTATGTCTCTAAAATTTTCTTCTGTGAAAGATGCTTTGCTAGTTATACTAGTATGTATTTGAGTACTTTTTTATTGCCTTTTCCGTATAGTTATGGACTTTATTTTTCGTTTCCCTTTTTTTTAAATAATTTTACCGAACCTTGTGTCAACAAAGTCTTTCCCGGTATATTCGGATAGTAATTCTACGGTTACCGATTTCCTGTCCAGAAACGATCTTAGCTGAGAGCTGAGGGCATATGTGGGTTTGGAATGAACGTTTTTGTCAAATTACTTCATTAATTTAGGTTGTAAAAAAAATACACGTAGTTGACAAATAAAAATAAAAAAATTAAAATTATTTTACACCATTTCGGGTAATAGATTTTGATTTTTTTTTAGTTATTGTTTTTGATCAAAAAAAGAAAAAACTTGACAACAAAATAATTATGGAGATAATTGATTATAATGTACTTATATCATGTAGATACGTGCGTTTAGTCTAGGAAAATTGTCGAAAAATACATGCATTGCAAAAAAAAAAATCCTACCCAAATGAACTTTTCAGGGATGATAGGAGGCGGGTGGGTGATCATAAAACCGAAGATATCACACATTCACCCCTCTGGCGTTTTGCGCTATGGGGGTTGAAAGTGCGCTATTGGCGATTACTTGGTACCTATTGATTTTACAAAAAAATGTTTCAAATAAAAGATGTGCAACATTATTTGATTTACAATGTTTTTCTGAAGACTTTTTTGATTAAGGGCCGTCTGTGGTCATAAGGGCCGTTTAAAATTTATAATGAAAATAATTTTTTTTAACCAACGTGAAAAAATTTTTTACAACACATACAACGTTTTTGCTCAATGAAGTTTTTACTCACCTCCTGCCGTTTTTCAATAGGGGTAGTTTAAAGTTTTTTTATTTTTTTACAAAAAAATTTTCTTAATAAAAGTCTTATAAGATTACATTTCCTACAATTTTTCCTTATCAACTTTTTTTGTAACTCACCCCCATTCAGCGGGGGGATACTTCCCTTAGATTAATTTTTTTAATTTTCATCATAAATTTCAAACGGCCCTTATGATCACAGACAGCCCCTAATCAAAAAAGTCTTTAGATAAACATTGTTGATCAAATAATGTTGCACATTTTTTATCTGAAACATTTTTCTGTAAAATCAATAGGTACCAAGAAATCGCCAATGGCGCACTTTCTACCCCTATAGCGCAAAACGCCAGAGGGGTGAATGTGTGATATCTTCGGTTTTATGATCACCCACCCGCCCCCTATCATCTCTGAAAAATTTATTTGGGTAGGAGTTTTTTTTTTTGAAAATCGACAATTTGCCTAGACTAGTTATAATATTAGTAAAATAAAATAAAATTGGTAAAAACTTACGGACAAAAACTCAAAACATATACAGTCCTGCATCAAATAGAAGTTCAAAAAAATATTGGAGAGACCATACACTCACATCCCATGTCACAAAAAAAACAGAATAAAATATTCTATTGTTAATTTGTAGTAATATGCTTGTCTCCTCTTAATAAGTGTCGGGATTCGACACCGCGCGCCAATTAACAAGCGCCGTTGGTCTACAAGGTGTTCAAAATTCGTCTCACTCTTCACGAACTGAATCGTGCTTTATTATTTTTATTTTGCCTCTAAAGTGTTCGAACATAGCGCGCGCAAATTTTCATCGATGCTGTTCATGTATTTTTAAAATAATCACCATCAAGAACAAAGATTTTGTACCACTTTGCATTTAAAAATTGATCAAACGACTAAAAATCTTGGATTAGGTAGATTAAAATGTAAATGTAATATAAATTTAAAAATGAACGAAAAAGACAATATAAACGATATCTGCAAATCGCCACCTGAAAAAAAATAATTTTTTTGTATTTTTTGGTCAGTTTTCTTGGATATCTACTCATGTTCAGCAGCAGAAAAAACCCTTGGAGAATACACCGGTGACCAAGCCTTCGTTTTGAAATGGATGCATATGATTTGTTTTTGTGAGATACCTCAAACCCTCCTCTATAGGTACACATACTTGTAGAAAATTTCGTAAAACAAAATTGGTGAAATGACATCATAGACAAATTGTGTCTGTGTTATAGGTTAAATCGACATTTTTCATTTTCTTCTCCATTTATGTGACAATGTGACCTTTAGTCAAATCCAGTAGATATAACTTTGGTCTTGACGTAATATCTTATTCATAGGAAATATCGGGGGAAATATTAATTCTGTGAAGAAAAACTAGAATCACAGGCGCAAACAAAACATCGGCATGTGCGTTCTGAGACGTGTCATCCAGTTAGTTTGAAAGAGACGCTTGCTGCATTTAAATTTTGTTTTTTTTTTGTTTCTATCGCAAGTCAAATCATTAATTACCGGTGATTATGATCGTTTATTTGATTTGCAACCAATTTTGGCAAACATTTGTTATGACATGCAGGATATTGAGTATCAATCATCCCATTCGGAAAACTCGATGACGATAAAAATTGAAAATTATGGCAAAAACAAAACAAAAAAAATATGAATTTTCGATATATGTAATTAAGCATGTACCTAACCATACCAAATTATGTTCATTTTATATTCTTTTACTTATAATGTATTTGTTTTCAACACCCTCCGATGATTGCAAGAATTACGAGATCTGTGAGTTTTTTGTGTGTGATGCCAATTATTTCATATGAAAGGCTTATCGGATGAGTTTATAGGTTATAGATGCACGTTTAAAGCATAGTCTGGGACTATGGTAGGTACCTACATTAGGCTTTGGACTTTTAGTATACTACCGTTGATACTACTGTCAGCTATTTATAGACTATAGACTCGAGAAATAATTCGGTCTAATTGTAGACATTCAAGATTAAGATATAGTAGCTCAAAAAGTATATAAAGCATAAAGCTAATATTATGCAAAAGACAAATCTATTTCACTCACGTCTTCAATTATTAGATCAATTTTTCTATTTCAGTCAGTGTGAAATAAACATGTCTGGGACTAAAGACGATTCACCGTTGCCTGGCTGCTCAGAGCAGCACAGCCAAGATAATCGTCAAACATCAGCTGTTGGTAAGTTTTTTTTTAATGTTTCCAATAAATGCAATGCGTTCAGCGTTCACCTAGGTGCGGAACTTGATAACACGTTGAAATTCTGCATAAGTATACGTTCTTATGATAACCTTTCATTTGTACTCGGATATAAAAATAAATCGATTGAAGCATGTAGAAATAATTACCTAAGCTGAAAGTAGGTATCAATTTCCGGCATCACCCAGCAAGAAAACTAAGCTGTCCTATAGTTCGCTTTACGTTCAAAACAAGAGCTTCTTACCGTAACTAACAATTTTCCGACCTAACCTGTTCAAGAAAAGGAACTTGGAATGAGTTGCACGTACCAGCCTATTTGCCCTATATATTGCTTAAAAATAATATAAAAACAAACAAAAAACTTTTTACTAAAACGCACGCATTTCTAAGAAATAATAAATAAATTGATTTTTTTTACAAAGTCTTACACCCTGTATCTGGAAAACGAAGCATTTCCGGACATATGTTTATTTGAAAAAAAAATACTCAATTATCACGAGATCTACCATCCCTAGAAGTTTGTAACAAACCTTAAACCTTTCGTGACACTCTGTCGATTTTATCGATTTAATTCGCGAAAATCAACGTCATTTGTTGCCCTCATCAGCCAGGAGGCCGTCGTATGATTGAAACTCAAATCGACAGACGAATTGTGGAGATGAAGCTCAACACCAATGTATCGGGTGCTTCAGTTTATAAACCAATATTTTGATTGCTAAGATCCGATCAAGTTACACTCATCCTCAAATCGCCTTCTCTGGTTGTCTCCCTGTATATGCCAAGATTGGAAAAAAGGCCTGAAAAATTGAACGATTATGTCCCATGTAGGGACATGGGAAATAATCAAGGGTGGCATTAATGCTATGTTAGGTGGGGAATGAATCGCCCATTTTATTCAATAAATAAATGAAACTATCCCCAGAACACGCGTAAATTGGATCGATATCAACTACAACACCACGTCCAAATCAAGATCAAAAAACTCGTTTGGATCTCGTGCTGGCGAAATACAAAAACGTCTCCTGCAAGATCGCACCTAGAACCAGGAGCAACGTACTTTATATTTAGATATTTCCGCTCCTTGGAGTCAGGTCACACGTGCCGGATACAGGCACCCCAATTGCAGTGCTCTAGAGCATATCGAATCTTCGTACCAGCCCACCTACGTCGAGCTTTTCTTAATGACCTACACAAATCGCATTTCATGGCACTGTGAAAACGGCATGGCACGTTTCCCTGTAATGTGGCCTGAAATCGACACGGAATTCGATCGTATTGCCAAATCCTACAGCGACTCCCCCAAACATGCACACACGCACCACCCAGATTTTGTGAACACCTGGAATACCCGATAAGGTTTTGCGAGCGCATCCATATCGACTAAAGATGACCATTCGCAGGAAAAAAGTCTTGTCGTCTCTGACGCCTACAGCAAATTTCTCGAGGGGAAATTATTCACTCCGGTATGATATAATACAATTTGCCTCTGCCAAATTTAAAGAATTCCTACACAAAAATCACCATGAGACAGTGGCGGCTCTTCCTTAGGTTTGCAGGTTTGCGCAACCCCCAACACAAAACTTAAAAAATATAAAACCCAAATAGTAGAATTAAATTTTAGTACCTAATTATATTTAAAAAATAAATTATACCAAAATTTGGGACCTACATAATACGCAGTCAATTATTAAAATAATTTGACCAATTTCGCCAAAATATCAACAACTGACAGGCCGCCGGCGACTTCGAGTGGCGGCATCGAGTCGCTGGATTGCAGCTCCAAAGCAAACCGATCTTTTATATGACGGCGCACATTTGGTTGCCTGTATATGCATGGATTCGAAATCCGCTCCATAAGCTCCAGCAGGTTGCAAGCAAAGTGCAAACTTTGTTTATTTTTTTTGCTCGTAGCGCAGATTAGATTTGTTTTGTGAAGTTTTGTCGTGTGGGGGGTGAAAAAAAAAAAGAATTCTGTTTAAAATTTAATTCCCGAGCCATTCTTTGGTCGTTCAATAACCGATAGGGCTGAAATAAAAAGACTTGGAAGGCCTACTCCAAATTTAAAAATTGAACAAACTGTAACTAGCAAAAAAAGGACTTTCACCAGGACATTTAATCTGGACCTTTACGAAAAACATGCATGATTGTACCATTGAAATTGCAACCCCTACATTTTTAATATACGAGCCGCCACTGCCATGAGATAATGAGCAGCGTTCGAATCTCTTTTTCGGTTATACCTACTATCCAGCACAAGCAGTTAATTTTTCCGGAAGACCTGCGAATTTCCGGTGGGTAAAATTGTTTGGCGACTGGGGCGATATTCAGTATAAAATAGACCACCACCGAAGGCCACATCTGAAATGATGAAACTTCCCCATCAAACTTCACGTTCACGCCGGTGGCCGCGTCTGAAGGTGCATCATCATTCATCAGCGCGCTAAACGCATCTTCACTTCGTCTAATCGCGACGGGTCCGATTATTTGACATACTATTACGTAGAATCGGTTTCGGAAGCTAACTCAAACATTTTGTGTTACAAGAAAGGTGTCTTATCAATACACTATTAGGTGAAGAATACCAGTCAATTGTCATTGTCATTGCCATATTTTTATTTTATCCTAAATTTTATATTCACCGATGAGCTTAACCATTACATATCGATTTTGTTTAAAAGAAAAAATTCGTTTTTTTTTCTCCTGAGAACCTACAAATGAAGCGTCTTCAATTTCGGAGATGGACCAGATGAACGATAAACGTTCTGCTGAATCAGATGGTTCAGAAAATAATAGAGAAACTTACTGATAGGATTGTGTACTTTTTTGAAATTTTAACAATACTTTTTTTTCTCAGCAGAAGCCATTGAACAAATACCAAAGAAAAAGAAGAGGGTGGGTTTTAACAGTGTAACGGTCTATTACTTTGACAGGGAGCAAGGTAGCACTTGCATACCGTCTAATGGAGGTTGCACTTTGGGTATGAGTGCCCATCACTCGGAGGCTGTGATGTTTTCGATTGATGAACACGCCATCGAAAGTTACAGGCTAGATGGAACACAACAATCAAAGTAAGACCTAAATTCTTTTTTAATCCAATAAATGAATAAAACAATTTACGCCAAAAATAGCAGCATAGAAGTACAGAAATAAGTTCAAATATATAACTGCAAAAACTTACAAAGTTTCTTAACATAGTCATAAGTAAGATTTAAAATACAAAACACACTTTGGTCAATACTAAAATTATACAATAAAAAAATATATATAGGTACCTACTAAACATTCAAGTCGACAAGATCATTTTACATACAGATGCACATAACTATTTTACCGGACCCAGAATAGGGCCAGCTAAAAATCCAAATCTGATGAGACCCTACACTGTATAAATTCATATAGACAGAATATATAGACACTTGTCAATAAGAAATTGTTTTTTTGTTGTTGTTGAATGGGTTTGAAGGAAGATTTTTGATGCTGATTGGTAATTTATTGAAAAATGTGGGTGCGTGATAACGTGCTGCATTCCGGGAAGTTTGTAAATGTAAAAATTCAATCTGGATGTCGTGCCTATGGCGAGTATTATAGTTATGAGTTTCATGCACATAGTTATAGTTTGTGGAGTTTCTGAGAAAATACAAAAGGGACTCTAGAATGTATTGGGCTAGAACGGTCAGTATTTTTAGAGTTTTGAAAAAGGTCTAACATCTCGGTATATTGGATACCTGCCACAATTCTGACTGCCTAGTGCTGCAGGCCGAAGGTACGTCAGGCATGCGGCGAGTGCCCCCAAGCCAGGAGTCTGTACATAGAGACAGAATGGAAAAGTCCATGGTAGGCCATTTTAAGGGTCTCGCTATCTACTATCTTTGATATGTTTCGCAGAGCATAATTTTTTTGAGGTTTCTTTTTAATATGTTGTTCAAAGGTGAGTTTTGCATCAAGAGTTACTCCTAGAAATTTGATTTTTTCAGAGTTGTGTAGAACTGTAGCTTTTTTGAGAGTAAAGATCATGATTTTAGTTTAATCCAAATTTATATGTGAAATGTTTGACCGAAACCATTCACTAACAGTCTCAGCATGTCCTGATATTTCGGTATTTGCCTGGTCTAGTGTCACATTTTATGGAGAAGCCATTATCATCTGCGAAAAATATGACCTTGCACGCTGGTAAAGCTGCTGTCATGTCATTGGGAGTGGTCCCAAAATTGACCCCAAAACAACCCCATGCTTCATCACCCGTGCTCTGAGCGCTCGCCCATCTCAGTGATCTGTCTCCTATCTAAGTGATATTCCCTTATCAGCTTTATACTAAGGTCATCCAGTCCATAATATTTGAGTTTTTCTATTAGAATTTTATGTGATACACAGTCGAAGGCCTTGGAGAGGTCAGAGAAAGTAGAGGCTACAATTCGGCCCTCGACGATGATCACAAAGACTTAGCACTGCTCCAGTGGTAGATTTGTCTTTTCTGAACCCAAATTGTTCATCCATCATCTATCAAGAGCTTATTGTCCTCACGGTTCTTGTTAGTATGACATTATTGTTAGAACTAAGTTATTTTTACTCTATATATGTATTTGACTCATGAAGTTGCTTTTGCGACCATTAACATGAATAAAAATTTTGATTTGATTTGGAAGGTACGTATAGAGCTGTTTTTGAAGGAGAGACTTAAAGACCTTGAAAAAGCCTGGTATTAAAGAGATGGGTCTGTAATTTTCTGGTGATAGTTTATCACCTTTCTTATGGATTGGCACAGTTTTGGAAATTTTAAGCTCTTCCGGGTATACACCAAGAGGATGATCCATTCACCAAGTCTCTGTATTAGTACTACATTGAAATCATAAAAGTCCTTGCTTTGTTTCTTCTTTAGGTTATTTAGAGCTTTATAGACTTCTTCTGCAGTTACCTGGCAGAAGTCGAAATTTATGTAGCTATTTTTAATGTGGCTATTTTGTAAATATAAAAGAGGTGAATTGTTGGCTTGAGGTAAAGCATTCAAAAGTAATTGTTGCATTCATTTTGGTCCAGGTTGACAGTCGAATTTGGGTTCATATTCACTGTGTGTTATTTTATTAAGGTCCAGGATGTCTCAGCAATATTAAACTCTGTCTAACCAAAGTTGAACGTTGAAGGTCACTTACTCGAATATATCACAGACGTTGCTTTTTGCTGCTGTCTTTATTGCACGCGCACTGTGTTTATCAAACCAAAATAGGTCCGAACGTGTGAATCCTATGGTTACAAGGATGAGTAAGTAAGTGATCTTCAACGTTCAACTTTGGTTAGACAGAAGTTTATCTGAGTTTTGAATGTAGTGTGAGTTTGCTTGTTTTTCAGTCCTGTACCTGTTTCTGAGTGTGGTTTTCTCTGTCCGCAGCAGTGGGCAGTCAGTCTTTCTGCACATCTGGTTTAGGGTGTTTAGCTCATGCCGTTTCACGAAGTAAAGGATTGCATCATAAACCTATTAATACTAACGTACGGACGGAGTTCCGAGAGAGAGAAGCGATGACATAATAGTAAAGTGAGATAGCATTAAAAAAATTCAAATATATCGCGGTTTTGCCGGTCGTCACGTGATTGTTGCATAGACCGCTTCTTGTCCTACTCAATAATTTTGTATTGCGCTATGTCACTTTCATCTGCAGCGTGTGTTAAATGGAGATCAACTCCATCCATACGTTAGTATTAATAGGTCTATGGATTTCATGTTTTACCTACTCTTTCTATGCATCATCAGTAACAGTTTAAGTTTGGTTACATATCTGGCTAGGCATGACTACATATCTGGTCTACTTAACTATTTGATATTAGCTGAAGTAAACATTTATCCAGTATAACAACACAATCCCTTTTTTAGACACACTAATAATTAAACAAAATAATACATTAATAACAGATTGGTACATGAAACCAAAAAATTCACAACTGTATCTAAATTTTCATTCTTACCACAGTAATCAAATGAAAGTTAATTTAATATTAGGAATGAAAAATAGAATTCAAAAATTAGTTCATCCAACATTATATCACAATAATCTCATTAAATTAAAAAATATACTTTTAGATAATTCATATCCTCACCAATTTTGGAATAAAATTATTTTTAATAATAATAATAGGTATAATAATATCAAAACAATAATATTTTTGTTGTTCTATACCATACATAAAAGAACTTAATCCTAAAATTAAAAAAATATTTAGTAATGAAAATGTAAAGATTGGTAATAAAAACATAAAGCCTACCTATTAATAAACTCTATTCTAAATTAAAAGATCAAACATCAAATCTAAATAAATCAAATATCGTATATTCCATTCCATGCAATAATTGTGATAAAATATACATAGGCCAAACTAAGCAAAATTTAAAAAATTGAATTTCTGGACAAAAAAGTGATATCAGATTAAAAAAAGACTCATCAGCTATTAGTGAACATTCTTTTATAACAGGACACTATATAAATTTCAATGATGCTAAAATTTTACAAGTCATAATTTTGTAATTTTATATTTTTAACTTATAAATAAGCTTGGTTCGTAATAAAGAATTATTTATATAAAAAAAAAATTCTGTGCAGTTCACACCCAGTAGAAGTGAAACCTTCATCGAACTGCATGCATTACACACATACTAACATACACAGTGGCGTCCCCCCTCCAAAAGACTTGAGAAAGAACGCAAATAAATATAGTTTTAAAAAACTAAAATACACGCTGTGGTGCTTTGTTCCACATTTCTCATACATTGAGCACCCCACGCTTTTTTGACAATAATTCTAATATTTTTTGTTCATTAATATTTTCTGCTTATATTAAAAATTATTTTTCACTTTTTAATTCAATTTACTATAAAAGCGTGTTTTTTAGTTTTTTTTAAATATATTTATTTTTCACTTTTTAGTTCGATGTATTATAAAAGCGTGTCAGCCCCAGAGATTTCCAGACTTTTCCAGACATTATCCAGACTTATTCAGAGTTGTCCAGAGTTTTCCAGGTTTCATCCAGATTTATCCAGACTTGTACAGACTGATCCGGATTCTGGAAAATGATCCCCAGGTCTTTTGAGACCTTTTCCAGAATTTTTCCGCCCCTTTCAAGAAATTTTCAGGCCTTTTCCAGACGTTTCCAAAGTTTTCCAGACATTATCCAGACTTATCCATGGCTTTCCAGAATTTTCCAGACTTCATCCAGATTAATCCAGACTTTATCCAGGCTTGTTCAGGCTGATCCGAATTCTGGAAAATAATCCCCAGGTCTTTTGGGACCTTTTTCAGAATTTTTCCAACCCTTTCCAGAAATTTCCAAGACTTTTCCAGACTTTTCCAGATAATATCCAGACTTATCCAGAGTTTTACAGACTTTATCCAGATTTATCCAGACCTTATCCAGACTTGTCCAGACTGATCCGGATTCTGGAAAATGATCCCCAGGTCTTTTGGGACCTTTGGCAGAATTTTTCGACCCTTTCCAGAAATTTCCAGGCTCCTTCCAGAGATTTCCAGACATTATCCAGACTTATCCAGAGCTTTCCAGAGTTTTCCAGACTTCATCCAGATTAATCCAGACTTTATCCAGACTTGTTCAGACTGATCCGGATTCTGAAAAATGATCCCCAGGTCTTTTGGGACCTTTTTCAGAATTTCTCCAACCCTTTCCAGAAATTTCCAAGTCTTTTCCAGACGTTTCCAGAGATTTCCAGACTTTTCCAGACGATAACCAGACTTATCCAGAGTTTTACAGACTTTATCTAGATTTATCCAGACCTTATCCAGACTTGTACAGACATCCGGATTCTGGAAAATGATCCCCAGGTCTTTTGGGACCTTTGGCAGAATTTTTCCGACCCTTTCCAGAAATTTCCAGGCTCTTTCCAGACGTTTCCAGAGATTTCCAGACTTTTCCAGACTTCATCCAGATTTATCCAGACATTTTCCAGACTTCTTTCAGCTCACTTGGCTTGTTCCAGGTTCTTGTTGTGTGTTAATATAAGCGTGTTAAAATCGTGTCTCAAATCACTCCCAACGATTCTAAAGAAGTTTTCACTTCAAAAAATTGTTTGGCTGATTTACCCGCTATCAAAAGAAAAAAACGTAAACATTTATCATTTATTTTTATCGGTATTTCCTGATAGGATTCAAGAAACAGTAGTTGTAACTGGCAACATCACTGCGAAATTTTAGTTACGAAACTCTATCATCCAATTAGAGCTTGAATTCATCCAGAAAAAAAAAATCAAATAAAGTTAAAAAGCCTGCCCTTCTCGCAGATCTGTCTCCAATTATTTGTCTAATGAAAAATTCTTTTTCTACTCGACTGTTACCAAACTGATATCTAGCGCCATAAAGATGGCTCATTAAAATAGTTAAAGCGTTAGAAGAAAAATTTCATAACCTATATTTCTTCATACGATATGCTCTTATCAAGTGACTGATGTTAACCAACTTCAAAAAAAATAATTATTTATCTTTTTTTTTTTCTCTGTAACAGGAATGCTAAAACTTACAAGCCTTACGAAGTGAAACAAAGACGATCCATTTTGAAAATGGCAGGAGTGCAAGTCAACCCTGGGGAAGAAGTCGAATGTAATTCCATCAGAGATTCTAGAGACAATTGTGGCTGCGATTGCCAGGACTTTTGTGACCCAGACACGTGCTCTTGCATCCAGAGTGGTATCAATTGCCAGGTGGATTATCCAAATTTCCCCTGCTCTTGTTCAAAAGAAAACTGCCAAAATCCCGCAGGTAGACTCGAATCTGATCACGATGACATACGGGCACAGGTATGCCATACTCTCAAGGGAATGAAGAAGAACGATAACTAAATTTGCCTTTAACCCTACTGACCGACTTTTTATTCAGCTATTGCCAAATTTCTGTTATGTGTATAAAACTTTATCTAAATGATTTATTACATAAAAATACCCTTATGGAAGGCGTTTACATTACAGGATTGATTTTATCAATAGGGTAGTGGACAAGGTTGGACATAACAGCTATGACGTAATTTCCGGGCGGTAAATTATAGCGTTTAAAATAAGTACAAATTTGTTTTTTTTTTTGCTTCACTTTTCTTTTTGTTTTCTATGATCAAAGAATCATCAACTACGGTTTATTTTGTTATGAAGATTAACAGAAAAAAATATTTCAAAAAATTGTCCACTACCCTATTAGTCGGGATCTATGATTCCAGAAAAAATCGAGAGTAGGTATAGTATCCGCCAAAGATATTCGAGATTCCTACAAAAAATTTTGTTTATATTATCAGGGGGGCTGCATTTAGTCAGGGAGCACGTATCAGGAGCCGCTTGAGTACAAGATTATATTGGTTTGAAATTATTTGGTTTAAATTGTTGTAAATAATGTTTAAAATTATTTTTCAATTTTCTCAGAAGATCTTTCAAAGATTTAATGCAAGAAATTAAAGACTTAATCGAATCCAGAACAGAGCTCTTGGACTAAATTTATTCTTAACCCCTATACCTATGTAGAGTTTTTGCTGCGGTCTTTTTTTATCGGGGCATCGCCGACAAAGAAATTATTTTTTGTAGGAATCTCGAATATCTGTGGCGGCGACTTTTCGTTTGATGGTTGCCTTTGACATCATAGACCTACGGCCGAGAAGCAAATAAGTCACCTCATCGGGTACAAAAGGTTCGAGTTTCTTGGATGAAAGTACTTTATGTGCATATCTCAAAATCGGCCGTCTGCCACAAATGACAGCTCGTCAAAAAGACGAAAATCTGGGTTTTCTCACCTCATTGGTACATGCCTAAAAATTTCAGAATGTGTAAGGGAAAAGCTCCTAGATACCTAATTCGGCCGGCAGACGTCGATATTTGGACGCCTATGTAAAGCAGACGCCCGCCGCGACGCCGAAAATCTGACGTAAATTACCTTATGAGGTACATATGCAAATTTGGGCTTAAATGAAAGGTATTTGTGTGTAGAGTGAACAAATATTTTTTTAAATTCGGCAGACGGTCAACAACAAGTTGCAGGCGCTCTAGAAAATTTAGATTTTGTTGTTAATACAGCATAAAATAAGAAATATTCAATAAATAACTACAAATTTATTAACAAAATAAATAATTCTGGCCAAATTATAGGCATGTGCGTTACCTAAAAACAGTTGCGAAATTATTTATAAGGGTAGAAGCTAGTAGATACCTATTATAGATATCTACTCCTATAAACTAAAAAAGCTACATAACATGTAAAGGAGTAAATAGGAGCTTTAGAGAGTCGAAAACAGTCAAAAAATATAAACTCAAATATAGATAGATACAAACGAAAAATACGTAAAATAAAACAGGTACAAAAGACGAAAAAGTGAATAGGAACTCTTAGCATTCAAAAATCATAAAAATGCCACATATAGAAAATCCAACATTTCAGAAATCTAACCAGAAAGTAGTGAAATATGACTTAGAGTTAAGAAACTCTTCGACTGCATCATACTTAAAACAAAATAATATTACCTAATAAAAATATTACACGAGCTGAAAAGCTTGTAGTGCATGTTAAGGACACTTTCAGCAAAATATAGGAAAAAATGACAAAATAATATCTGAAAAATAATGATATTAAGATTCTTTTTTAAATTTTTTGGGTATCAAATCAATTTCTATTGTTCATCATCAGAAGAATCATGCATTATCCTTTCAATTTCATCGTCCATATCGTCGGTATAAAAATAAAATATTGAGCATGATAAACGAGCAAATTTATATGAAAGTAGTATGGAATTCCTAATTCAGGGTTCTGAACAACAATGTTTATCAGATTTTATGAAGGCAATGCGAAACGACAATTTTAAACAGTCCTTGATCAAATTTTTATGTCAGTTTTGGCAAAATGATATGTTTGTTGAAATTGTGAGTAATAAAACTATATATGTCAATTGCAATAAAGATTGTTACAAATTTTCTGTTGTCCCAGGACATATACATAGAGAAATTGTTGATACCTTCAAGTGTTTCCATGAAGAAGCTGACAGCCGAATAATCTTTTATTTGTCAAAAATTGAAGCAAATACCGCAAATAAAAATGCGGTAGTTCGTAGTTCTGACATTGCTAGGGAATCTACACAAAATTAATAAAAACATCGACATATGGTTGGAGTTGCATCTGAAAATACCTGTAGATTTGTTGACGTGAGTGCAATCTTTAATAAATTGGGATCCAGAATGTATAAATCTCCACCAACTTTTCATGCTTCTACTGGATGTAATTATACCGCATCCTTTTCCAGAAAAGACAAGCTGAAGCCTTTTGGTATAGGACCAGAAACTACAAGAAGTAGGTACTATATATAATGCTGGCATTTCGAAAGAGCAAATTGAATCTATAGAAAGGTTTATCTGTGCAATGTACGGAAAACCCAATTTGTGCAATATCAATGATGCTCGATTCGATATTTTTTACGATCATTGTAACCCCAAACCGAATTAAAGTCCGTTCAAGAATCTTAACACGGTTTTGCATGGTGGTAACATCGTACTATCAAAATCAGATACATAGTTCTATCAAAAAAGATACTAGATCCCAATTTATTGAAGACAGCACTTACGTCAACAAATCTAGAGGTATTTTTAGATGCAGCTCCAACCTCCATTCATACATTGACGTTTTTATTAGGTAATTTTGTGTAGATTGGTATGTCAGTGTCAGATCCACGATCTATCACATTAGTATTTGCGTTATTTGCTTCAATTTTTGACAAATGATAGACTTCTTCATGGAAACACTTGAAGGTATCAACAATTTCTCTATGTATATGTCCTTCGAACTAGTACCTATAGAAATTTGATCAAGGATTGTTAAAAATTGTCGATTCGCATTGGCTTCATAAAATCTGATAAACATTGTTGTTCAGAACCCTGAATTAAGAATTCCATACTACTTTCATACAAATTTGCTCGTTTATCACGCTCAATATCTTATTTTTATACCGACGAGATGGACGATGAAACTGAAGGGATAATGCGTGATTCTTCTGATGATGAACAATAGAAATTGATTTGATACCCAAAAAATTTAAAAAAGAATCTTAATATCATTATTTTTCAAATATTATTTTGTCATTTTTTCCTATACTTTGCTGAAAGTGTCCTTAACATGCACTACAAGCTTTTCAGCTCGTGCCATATTTTTATTAGGTAATATTATTTTGTTTTAAGTATGATGCAGTCGAAGAGTTTCTTGACTCTAAGTCATATTTCAATACTTTCTGGTTAGATTTCTGAAATTTTGGATTTTCTATATGTGGCATTTTTATTATTTTTGAATGCTAAGAGTTCCTATTCACTTTTTCGTCTTTTGTACCTGTTTTATTTTACGTATTTTTCGTTTGTATCTATCTATATTTGAGTTTATATTTTTTGACTGTTTTCGTCTCTCGAAAGCTCCTATTTACTCCTTTACATGTTATGTAGCTTTTTAAGTTTAAAGTAGTAGATATCTACAATAGGTATCTATTAGCTTCTACCCTTATAAAAAGTTTCGCAACTGTTCTATTTTTTTTTTATGAATATGTTTTATTTTGTAGTTTTTAGGTAACGCACATGTCTATAATTTGGCCAGAATCATTTATTTTGTTAATAAATTTGTAGTTATTTATTAAATATTTCTTATTTTATGCATTAACAATAAAATCTAAATTTTCTAGAGCGTCTGCAACTTGTTGTTGACCGTCTGCCGAATTTTAAAAAATATTTGTTTACTCTACACACAAATACCATTCATTTAAGCCCAAATTTGCATATGTACCTCATAAGGTAACTTATGTCAGATTTTCGGCGTCGCGGCGGGCGTCTGCTTTACATAGGCGTCCAAATATCGATGTCTGCCGGCCGAATTAGGTATCTAGGAGCTTTTCCCTTACACATTCTGAAATTTTAGGCATGTACCAATGAGGTGAGAAAACCCAGATTTTCGTCTTTTTGACGAGCAGTCATTTGTGAAGTTGACCGCTGGACCCCGGCAGACGGCCGATTTTGAGATATGCACAAAAAGTACTTTCATCCAAGAAACTCGGACCTTTTGTACCCGATGAGGTGACTTATTTGCTTCTCGGCCGTAGGTCTATCAATTTTGGCCCACGAAGGAATCTGGGCACGCCTGGAAACTCGTAAACTCAGTATGGGAGCGCCCAATGCCCGATGTGGTGACAAAATAACGTTAGGAAGTACTTTCCTTCATAAAATTTGGTTCTACTTATTACTAATAAATTGTGCAGCTTTGGTGGAATTACAAAAATAGATTAATTGGAGGCCTTTAAAAAAAAAACAAATTAAACAATTTATTTTCTTGCTAAACAACACAAATAGGTACTTTACTAATTAAATATTTAGGTATTGATCACAAACAATTAAGAAGCCTTCTTCAATCTATATTTTCTCTTTCTTTCCACTGTCCTTTGAGCTGTCTCATTTTCTCTTTTTTCTGTTCGTTTGCTGCACTTTTTCTATTTTCTAATCGTTTGGTCTGAGCTTCCACACTATTTTCTTTATTAAAATAATTATCCAATTTGGTAATAAGCAATTGCCTGGCTATCTTTTTATTCTGATGAACTGATCTTGTTTCTTGACATTTTACTACCATGCCTTGAAAAAAAAAGGAAACTTACAAAAATTATCTTCAAATTTTAATTTTCATTTATTACCAGTTGGAATGTGTCTGAGAAAAATACAGCTTGATGTTTTATTAATTTTTTGTCCTCCTGGTCCAGATCCTTTAATTTGTTGTTCTTCTAGGTCAGCTTCGTTTAGAGTAGGCACTTGTGTATAATCTATTCGTTTTTTAATTGAAGAATACCACCTAAAGTTATTGGCTAAGAAGCTTATCCTGATTCTATTTATCATTATTGTATCGTTTTTCTTAGCAGCAGAATAATACCTTTCTGAAAGAAAAAAAAAACTCTTTGATATTTTGATTTGATAAGGGGTTTCATTCTAGAGACTATGGAGCAGTGTTTCTCAAATGATGGTACGTCATGACAGGCTAGGTATTCCAACAAATAAGTTTATCATTCCATAAGAGAATAATAAAATCTTGGCTATTAATAAAATTTCACACATTTTCCTGTTTGTACCTTGCTGATACATTCTTGAAATTGAACAAGAAATCTGTAGTCACATGGGAAAGATGTCAACATCTTTCGAGTCAAAGAAACGGTTATTTCTCTGTCACAAATATGGGAATATTGGCATGAATTCCATGGTTCTCCGCGTGCGTCTTATGAAAATAAACTAATATTGAACAATTTCAGTGACTGAAAGGGTATTTCTCATTCCTGAATAATACCTACTAAAAACCTTTTTCAATTCATAGACTGAAAATCGCTTCATTGCCATTGAACAGCCCGCCCTTATTTTGCTGCCTTGAAATGACACCATCACATTGGAGAAAATCAAGGAGAAAATGCACATTGGCAATATATTATTTAATTAATTCAGAAACTTGATCACAACCAGTTAGTGCGTGCACCATGTTAAATAGCAACGTTTCGTAACTGTTACAAGAACAGAAAGATTTTTTTTTTTATGTAACCCAGTATTATACAACATTTTTCTTTTCAAATACCTAGCATGTTTTATGCGAGGTTTTATGTTATCAATCAGATGGTAATGGCGAGTTCGGAAATAACATTGCAGATGCGACAGATTTTTTTTACATGTGACTCCAAATTGATTTTATACAAGTTAAAAATGTTAAACAGTCAAAATTTTCATCTTCATGCTCTTATAGCTAGTTTCCGAACTCAGTTTAAAACAGAATGTAAAACTTTGTTATTGTAAAGTGGGTGTTTTTCAAGTTTCGGTTTTCCTTTTAAGATAACTTAAAAAAAGGAACGAAATTTTTCAAATAACATTTTCTCAAAAACTCCAGGCCTAAAAATGTTTAATCATTTACCTCAGGCAAATAAACTGTCGACCACCCAAAAAAAATTTAAAGGAAGAGTTAAGCTACATTCCCAGTTGCGCGAAATTCACTTTTTTTTACATTGCTTTGACAAATTGACTTTTTATGCGTGTATTAAATGTCACATTGTCAAAGCAATGTCAAAAAAAAGCAAATTTCGCGCAACTGAGAATGAAGCTATAGGAATTTTTTTGGTGATAAACCCTATTACAGTATGTCAGAATATTATCAGGAAAGATTCCAAATATGATTGAGTTAATAAAACGGATGAACTCAAAAATTGATTTATTGTTTGGAAAAAATTATAGACAGTCATAGGTTTTATTCTATTGATTAATGAACTTATATTGTAAACCAACAATATTATATACCTGTCTTTTATTTTTATTCACATTGTTGGTGCTCTGGTTTCGTAACTTTTGTGAACTCAGTTTCTAGTTTTATTGCATGTGATTTTTTTGTTTTGTTTTGATTGTTAGAGTGAATTAGTTTTAAAACTGCTATTACAATAATTTTATTAGCTATACTATTATTTAAGTGATTTTCATATTAACTAGCTTTGTCCAAAACACAACTTGTACCCTTTTATCACAATAAAGCACATTATCTATCGATCTATCTATCTATCTATCTATCTACTTATCTATCTATCTATCTATCTATCTATCTATCTATCTATCGGTTGTAGGCAAAATGACCGTACGTGAAGGGCATTCAAGTATTTTTTTATCGCAATTAGTATTTATAAATTTGTCATTAACAATTTGGTCCAGTGCCTATTAAATATTCGGGGGTAGGCAAACATGAGAAATTGAAAATCTATCAAATTTCACAGATAAATTTTAAAAAAAGGGTTGCTTTGATAAGACCTCAAAAACGGTCATATAAAATGCATTGCTGTGAAATTTTATATAGACATATATCTAAGCCGAGTACAAATACATTATCAACTACCTGCAGCCTACAATAAGGTAGCTATGGTTGAAACACAAATAAACTATTCTACAAAGAGTGTTAACAAGGCATACCGAACACCCAGTAAAAAAAGAAAACTGTTTATACTTCACCTCGAACTTAAAACTTATTTCTCCATCATCACTGATTTCCTTATTTGTTCTAAATTCTTTCTTAATGCGTCTTGTAAAATAATTTTTGTCGGTAAATTTCAGTTGGCCTCCGTATCGCAAAAGACTTTTATACAATTTCAAAATTTCGATTCTGTTTGGCAAACTCATATTTTGCTTTTCATTAAAAAATAAAAAAATAAATGAATGAAATAAGTTAGGTTAGGAGTCGGGTAGGGCGTAGAGCGAGCACAGATCAAGGATATAAGCGCAGGAAGGATGGCCTAGTTTATCGAATTTTGATTGAGGAAGATTCGCCAGGGAGAAGTGAGTATTTCAAATTCGAAAATGTGCGGTTTTTATCGATGGGTTTTCAATCATACACATTAATAAAGCTGAATTTACCATCGATTCTGAAGTTGTACATTTAGCGATATTTTCGTCTGATTATTATAATTTTAATTGTTTGTGTCTGAATTAAAAATATGCCATTTCAGCCGCAGAACTCAACTTTTGGCGTAAAATGCATTAGCCGAGTTTAAAACACTATAGGTAAAAAAAAGCGAATTTCTAAACGTTAAAATCTTGTTAAAATCACCTTTCTACATTGAAAAACGACGAAAAAATTGACTCCTCACAAGCACAGCCTGAATCGCAAGCATCTTCGAGGTCTGCGGGTAACGTCACCACTATAAGCTGCTGATAGTGGTGACTTCACTTGCAGTCCCTGCTGACTCGAGAATTGGCGAACGTACGCCTTATCAGGGTTAAACAAGCCTGTTAGTTTACGAATATTGTACTGTGTATAAAAACACAAAATAGGAACTTTATTTGATATTGACGGAGATATGATTGATAACGTATAACTCTGCGTGGTACATGTTAAAGCATAATTCTCACGAGAGGCTCGTAGGGTAGAGATGAAAGTGTGGAATAGATCATTCCAAAATCATGAAAAACAGGTTCAAATAATTATCCAAAATTCTGGTGAATTATTGAAAACCCCAACTGCTTCACTAGACGCTCCTTATATTTTTTTAAATAATTTACTGGGAGCGTCGTTTCCTAAACTTCGTTTTCGGTCGGCGTTGGGTTGCCAGGTGTAATAGTTGTCCACGTTTTGAAATCTATACTTAGCAACAGAACGATTGCCTAAAAATAAATCCATACTTCCTTGGTTTGTTGGATAGCTTTAACCATTTCTAGACAAATTCGTCTTTTTAGCAGTGAAAAAGTGCTCCTCAGGTAGTTTGAGTAGTTTCAATGAACTAGGATATAACTTTCATTGTTTCTGGTGAAACAAAATTAACGGTAAGTAACTGCTTTTCTCATGAAATTATTATTTCTAGTGATTGTGCGTATAACCTTACAAATTGCAACTGAAAAATATGTCACAATGCTCCAAATATTTTTCCTATAAATAAACAGGACTTTGAGTAATATTATTCCTCAAAAATGTACCTACTTGGTGAATGTACCTATTTTTATTAATATTGAAGGCATTTGCCGAATCAATCCGTTATGTTACATGATGTACAAATACACCAGTTGAGAGTTTCAAATTACCATACCTACTGCTTTTTTATAGATAGTAGATAGAAATAATAAATGGTACACTTATTATGAACATATTTTTCCTATGCATTTAGTTTTTGAGTTTTTTTCCTAGGAGCGGCTTAGGTCAAATCAAAGTAAAATAGCCAGTTTTCCGGTACCTACTTTTCAAAAAAATTAGAAAATTCGAAACTTTCTTGTTCCTGAATAAATTAAGTACCATATGGGGCGCCATAATAATTATTTCATTCGTACGAGGTAACAAAATGTTTTCCAGGAAAAACAATATATGTAAAAATTACTACGATTTTGCATATAAAATAGGTACATATGTAAAAAAAAAAAAAGTAGGAATATTGAAAAAAAAAAATAGATAAGTATATTGAATTTGGCACCGTGCAAAGTTCCATATAAAACTTTTTTCGTTTGAAGAATCTCCGAGCGATGGCGCTACCTTTGGTTTTGGTAATTTTTTTCTGTATGGTGTGTTGCATTATTGAGATATTTTGGACGGCCGTTGATTTGTTAATTTAAATGGGTGTAATTCGGGCTCATCAATATAATTGATAATAATTAGGTAGGTATTTAAAGCCCGGCTGAAATATTTCCAAGATGGTGGCACTTAAGCACACAAACTTTTCCTGGGTAGTGAATGAGACTAGTTGTATTTCTTTCACCCCTGGGAGGAGCTCCGGAACAGCTCCGGGGCTTTACGCGACTATTCTTTTCGAAAAGTGTTTGTTGCACCCTTAGATCATGTTGCACCACGCATCTGTTGCTTGCAAATCGAGGGCGACTAACACTGGAGCGAGTATCTCGAGTGTTCTAAACTCTTGAAAGGAATGCAACTATTGAGCCGTCACGCCCGAATTGTGGACGCTATTCAGCCGGATACAGTCGGTTCGAGTCGAGTTCAGCCAAGCGAGAGATAGAAAAAGTCAGCAGTGCGAGAGAGAGAGGGATAGCACGATTGCGATTTATTCGAGACCCTCCCTAGAACCCCAGAACAAAGTTCGGGTGGCAAACAGATGACGTCATCAGGTGGTTCTTATGGAGATTTACCATCGAAGAGATTTACTATGTTTAGGCACAGATCGTTTAGGCTTAATAGATGACGCCATAAAAGTTATCAGGCAAGCTTTCTCTTTTAAACAACCTTGATCCAAACCACAAATGCCAGGATTGAATATGGCGTTTCACTTCTGTCGTGTGGTCTAGCGACTTAAAAAGTTTACAATTCTTGCCTCAAACAGAATAATAAAATCGGCTCCGCCCCACTTTTTTTATTTCAATTTTCTACATATTTTGACAGTATCGCGAACAGTTTTATTCCTTTCAAGAGTTTGAAACACTCGAGCTACTCGCTCCGGTGTTTAGTAGCCCCCGATTTGCAGGGAACAGATGCGTGGTACGACAAACACTTTTCGAAAGGAATAAGCGTGTGAAGCCCCGGAGCTGTTCCGGAGGTCCTCCTAGGTGTGAAAGGAATACAACTAATGTGTCATTGAAAGATTTTTGCCCGATGCGTTTTTTTTAACGACTTTATTTGGGTTAAAAAAAAAAATGATTCGAACAAAAAAACACACACAGGTGACAGGTCATAAAAATTTGACTGGCGGTGGCGGCTAAACATAGGACTGCTATCCAACGTTGCCGATTGATTTCGATGCTTCGCGGGCGCATGCCCAGTCCAGTTTAGCAGTTGATGTTTACTCGACGAATGAACACTTATTTCAAAAAGGGTATATTTTCATGCTTTGAATGCGATATAGTAGTTTTTCTATTTTGGTGTCATATCGAAGTCTTTTCGACACTAAAAGTAGTTTCGAAAAGAAGCTCTTTGTGACACTCCTTTTTTACTTATCGGAGGTTGGTAACACTGGCTGACTGATGGCCATCGAACTGTCATTCACTATAAAAAAATAATAGAAGGTCGGGGATTCTAAAATCACGATTCGACATACGATTCGACAACGAGACGATTTTTCCGACGATTCTAGGTTAGAAATCTCATTGGAATTATACCTTTCGATACGACAAGGCCGGTATCGTTGTCGAGTCGTGTGTCGAATCGTGATTTTAGAATCTCGGCCAAGATTTCTATATTTGGCATGTAGTGTTACCAACCTAAACATATGAAATCAGGAAATATGAGAATAAAATTTCCAAGAAAAGTTTTTTTTCTAAATTAAACAATACCAAAATAGAAAAAATAGTATAAAATATTCGTTTCATAAGACATTTTTTCTATTTTGGTGTCATATCGAAGTCTTTTCGACACTGAAAGTAGTTTCGAAAAGAAGCTCTTTGTGACACTCCTTTTTTACTTATCGGAGGTTGGTAACACTAGCTGACTGATGGCCATCGAACTGTCATTCATGATTTTATAATCAATGAATAATAGAAGATTTCTATATTTGGCATGTAGTGTTACCAACCTAAACATATGAAATCAGGAAATATGAGAATAAAATTTCCAAGAAAAATTTGTTTTTTTTTTAATTAAACAATACCAAAATAGAAAAAATAGTATAAAATATTCGTTTCATAAGACATTTTATCGCACTCGCCCTTTAGAAAACTCGCCTCCGGCTCGTTTTCTAATATAGGGCTCGTGCGATAAAATGACGTCTTATGAAACTTGTATTTTAATGTACTATTTCCTAATCAGTGCGCAAAGTTATGTTTTCTTGCACGCAAAAGCAGTTAGCCGAACGACGCGAAGCGTTCCAATAAAGTGCGGAAGAACTACTTTGCGTAGGTACGAGGAAAGGTGTTGAGAAAAATATTTTTTCCCGAGTGAAATGGATATACATTTTTTTAAGATTTTTATTGGCATCAAAAACAACTACTATTATAGCTACCTGTGTATAACTACCTGTATGTACCTGAATTACCTATTTATAATTATATTGAAAAATTTTCCCGTAACGTAAAGTGTACTGGAAAAGGCTACTACTTTGCGCACACTCGTAGAAAATTGTATATTTCCTAATAATGCCCAAATTTGTGTTTTCCCGCACGCAAAAGCAGTTAGAATAAGCTTAAAGTGAGGGAAAACTACTTTGCGCACGTGTTAGGAACAATATTTTTCCTACGAATGAAATAACTACATGGTTTGTTTTAATTTTAAATTTTTATTAGCATCAAAAACAACAACCTGTTTAACTAATTATAGGTACTTAAATTACATAAAAAATACAGGGTGTTTGGCGGAGGGTTAGCCAAACTTGGTGGGCCTATAGATAGGCCCATTTCGAAGATATATTATTAATATACTGGTGGCCTTAAGTTCCCCTTTTTTTTTTATCATTGCCTGTGTGAAACAAATCCCCCCCCCCCCCACTGACAAAATCACCAGTTGTGACGTAGGCAGCATGTCCTTTCTCGGATGGACGTAGGCCTGTTAGCACTACCGGTTATGATTCCGCGGGCTTTTGCTTTACGCATACTTGGTTTTACTACATTAATTAACATTCTAAAACAACTCTTTTTAGATCCCGTTTTCATCTTCCTCTTTGCCTATTATGTTAATCAAAAGTAAATAATACTTTTCATCATAAATTTAAATTCTAAACTGCGACCTCTAGTGCAAACAGCTGACGACTTGTTAATGTACGTCGTAAATGGTGACACACCAATATGGCGGCGATTACCAAAAACGAAGCCGATAAGCAATTCTTAGTAGTGTGTATTATCCTTGGCCGTAAATAGCTCCATTTCTCTCGGATCCAGTGTTGCCAGCATCAGTACAGATGTACTGAAATCAGTACAATTTTCCCGCCGTTGTACAGTACCGGGGATATTCTTAAACGGCGGGAAAAATTAACGAATACCTGCATTTTCGAATTGACGGAAGCAAGGACGATATACACTATTACTACCAGGATGGCGTTTCCTCATAAGGCCTGTGTGTAACAAATCCCCCTCTTCCCCCCCGCCCATCCAAAATACCAGTTGTGACGTAGGTAGCATGTTATTACTCGCCTTGACGTAGACTGTTTAAACAGCTGACGACTTAGTTATGACGTCAGCAATGGTGGCACACCAATATGGCGGCGATTACCAAAAACGAGGCCGATAAGCACACCTAGAGTGTGTAATCTCCTTGGGACGGAAGGGGATCACGAAATACTCCGGAGCAGAATTTTGAGTGCACCCAATTATGCCTTTAGCCCGCGGCCGTTTTACGCCCGTATATGGACTTAATCTCGATTAGGAGTTTAATCTCGCTTAGTTCAGGTCTGTTTCCAGTCAAAAACAGTCAGAAAACTAGTTTCAACCAATGAAATTTACTCTAACTGGTTTGTGATTTCTGCAGAAACTGACCTTTCGAAAATTTGGCATGCAGCGCAAGAAAAAAGGAGTTTAAGCTGAAGTTTTAGATTACTTACAAGATCCACCAGAAAGGAGGGTTTTGCTTAGATTAGATGCAGTGGCGTAGCCAGTAGGGGGGCAGGGGACAGGGGTGGCGACGCCCCCCCCCCTACACGTATGGCGCCACTACCGCTCTTAAAAAACGAAAGCAAAAAATTAGAAATTATAAAATTATGCTGTTTCTCATAACACATGACTGCAAATGCTCAGGCCTGAATATTATTATCACTCTCGGACTCCATGAATATTTAATCCACCAACACATTCAATCACAAGCTTGCGTTCACGACGACTTGAACTTCCCGAATTCCATACAGCATTGGCTACTTCGCACATAGAGTGTACAGTTTACTTTCACTTGTACAAGTACTTGCCAAACT